TTTGTATTACTTGTGTCTCTTTTCATTAATATTCATCAGTCATCATTTGTTTCAGCTGTTACTAACATCAGCAGCACCGATACAACAGTCAGACCAGAGACGAGCTCAGCTGGTAATGTAGTCTGATGTTTCCTCTGTTGAGTGTGTTTTGATTGTGACGTCAAATTAATTTGAAAATCTTGATCTCAGCTGTTGCTCTCCTGTGTGCATTAAAGAAAGTGCATGAGAGCAGCAGGACTCTCAAAAACTGTGATAAATAAAGACAAAACTCTGAGAAAAGAAAGTCTGAATTACAACATAAACGTACAGCCACAAGGAAAAAAGTCAGAGTTGTGAGATGTTAAATCAAAAGTGCAAGATATAAACTCAGAATTGCAAGAAGTAAAATCAGAACTGAGATGAAAAGTTGCCATAACCCCCCTTTTTTGTTTTGTTTGTTTATTCAATGGTGGAAACAGGGTTATAATCAGGCCTGGTGTCAAGAGGGGGGTGGAGCAGGACTCTCAAAAACTGTGATAAATAAAGACAAAACTCTGACGAAAGAAAGTCTGAATTACAACATAAACGTACAGCCACAAGGAAAAAAGTCAGAATTGTGAGATGTTAAATCAAAAGTTCAAGATACAAACTCAGAATTGCAAGAAGTAAAATCAGAACTGAGATGAAAAGTTGCCATAAACCCCCTTTTTTGTTTTGTTTGTTTATTCAATGGTGGAAACAGGGTTATAATCAGGCCTGGTGTCAAGGGGGGGCTTGGGGGGCTTAGCCCACCCTTGATGTTCTGAAGCCCCCCTGCAATGATCTGAAGGACCCACCCCTTCACCCTCAGAATATGATTTTAAACATGGAAAGCAATCTAAACCGAATGCAATTTCAACCGAGGGGCACCCGTCGGATCTCAGATTCAATTTGACCCCCTCCACCCCCCCAAAATGTGTCAATTTTAACCATTCGATGTGGACCATCACCGGTTAATTTAAAACATTCACTGCTAAATTCAAACGCGTTGTCTGATGCTATTCAGTGTTTTCAACCACATAACATTTATTTTAGGTTTCAGACATTTAAATGAATTGCTAGCAAAAAAGACATTTGTTAAATACACACTGGTGTTTGTGAGTTTGTTAAATAGACTGGTGTCTAATGAAAGCGGCAATAATAATCCTTTCAATTAAAATCTGACAGTGTGTTTTATTCAAATAGGTACACGTTGTGTAGGTAACGTCTCCAGGTTACGCATGTAACCCTAGTTCACTCTATTCTTCTCCTAGTTTAACGGTAACTTACTTTTATGTATTTTGTGTGAACCCCTCTTCCTTTAATAGTCCACTACACAGACACAACTTTTTTTTTTGCATTTTTAATGCCCGTGCACAAGATATATTAAGAGAAATTTGTTTATTAATTACTGTTCATCTAAACTTTCAGATGTTAGCAGCATTAACACCAGCTCTACAGCTGTCACAACAGAGACCATCTCAACTGGTAATATAACACACTGTGACTTATTTTCTGACCTGTAGCTGTTAATGCCAATGTCAGGAACAGTTGTGAGTGGTGCAGGTGTCGCGCATTATCACTTACTCCACCGGCCTCGCTCCGTTCCCACGGCTCTCGGCCCCGCCCCCAATTGTCATACTGTGATAAATAAAGACAAAACTCTGAGGGAATTAAAAAGTCTGAAATGCAAGATAATTAAAAAAAAAGACTGAATTACAACATAAACTTACAGACACAAGGAAAAAACTCAGAGAATTGAGACGTTAAATCAAAAGTTCAAGATATAAACTCAGAATTGCCAGAAGTAAAATCAGAACTGAGATGAAAAGTTGCCATAACCCCTTTTTTTGTTTGTTTGTTTGTTTATTCAATGGTGGAAACAGGGTTATAATCAGGCCCGGTGTCAAGAGGGGTGTGGGGGTGGGGGGTGGATCTGAAGGGCCTATCCCTCCACTCCAGGGAATATGATTTTAAACACGGAAAGCAATCTAAACCGAATGCATTTTTAACCGAGGGGCACCCACGCAGGGGTGAAGTTTAAGCAAACTAAGTGATTGAGAAAATCCAGCATACTCCACCAGAGAGAAGTCTGTCACTTCACATGGGGAAAAAAAAATCAGGATATGAGTTAAATATTCACAAACATCATAAATCATTTGATTTCAGTATTTCAATTATTTCTGAATCCATTTGATAAATCACAAATCTAAATCATGCATGAAATAAATGCTTCTCCTTTCACATGATCATATCTGTGTGCATGTCTATAAGTTGGTTAGTTATATCTCACCATTATTTACGGTACTGTGCCGGTAATTATATTTTCATGTGTTATTTGTATTACTTGTGTCTCTTTTCATTAACATTCATCAGTCATCATTTGTTTCAGCTGTTACTAACATCAGCAGCACCGATACAACAGTCGGACCAGAGACGAGCTCAGCTGGTAATGTAGTCTGATGTTTCCTCTGTTGATTGTGTTTTGACTGTGACGTCAAATTAAATAGAAAATTTTGATCTCAGCTGTTGCTCTACTGTGTGCATTAAAGAAAGTGCATGAGAGCAGCAGGACTCTCAAAAACTGTGACGAGCTCAGCTGGTAATGTAGTCTGATGTTTCCTCTGTTGAGTGTGTTTTGACTGAATGTTTGTGGATCTGCAGAATTGAACAGGTGTGTGAGAGTGTTTGTTTCTCTAAAAAGGGACGAGGAATAAAAGATCATGTGAAATATACAGTTGTAGACATTTTTTTTTTTTTTTGCATTTAGCATTTTGAGTGCCCGTGCACAAGATATATTAAGAGAAATTTGCTTATTAATTACTGTTCATCCAAACTTTCAGATATTAGCAGCATTAACACCAAATCTACAGCCATCACAACAGAGACCATCTCAAGAGGTAATATAATATGTCTAATATAATATAAGTATGAATATTTACTGAGTCTTTGCAGTGGTGTAAATTACACCTGTACTTGCAATTTCTAATGCTTTTGCACTAATTAAACAAATAATGTCACTACCAAAACATCTCCCAGTCTTACTTCCACAGGTCAGTTTGTTACTGTGGCTTGCAAAAAATTGTTAATATGTTATCACTGATAATATTACACGTCGTTTCTTGACAGTAATTTCCACAACATCTGTCAGTCCCACTACTACAGGTAAGCATGTTTCTGAACTGAATGTGGCTTTCAAACGAAGCTTCTCCATAACTTGTGTCTTCATGAGGAACATCATTTAGCATATGGGTCTGATTTAATATCTGTTTTTGTGTCAGTTTCTTTACAACCAGTCACTTCCACAACATCTACCAGTTCTACTTCTACAGGTGATGGAGATGATGCACTGTACTGTAATATTGAAATGCAACCCTCCATTATTAGTGCCTCCTCAAAGAACACAGTACTTCATCTAAATCTGAACTGTCATCTTATTCCATCTTGTAAATATTACTGATATTTTACCTACAGACGCTTCCACAACATCTACAAGTTCTACTACATTGGAGGATGATGCTGCACTGCACTGTAATATTGAAGCATAGCTGACCATAATTATTATTGTCCTCTTGAATAATACAGTAATTCAACATCTGATTCTGATTTAACATCTGTTTTCATTTGTTATTTTTTCAGCCTCTTCACAGCCGGTCACATACACAACATCTACCAGTTCTACTTCTACAGGTGAGGATGATGCAAAACTTAATGTGGCCTTCTAAAGGAACTCCCTCATGGTGATTTTCTGTGCTTCATGAAGAACACAGTACTTCATCTAAATCTGAATTGTCATCTTATTCCGTCTTGTAAATATTACAGGTCATTTACTTACAGTCACTTCCACAACATCTACCAGTCCCACAACTGCAGGTGAGCATGATGCTAGATTGAACTTGGCTTTTCATAAGACACCCACCATAATAATCTTCTTCATGAAGAACTCATTATTTCATCCTCATCCAGTCTGATTTAACATCTGTTTCCATCTGTTATTGTTTCAGTTCCTCTACATCTGGTCACTTCCACAACATCTACAGGTGAGGATGATTCTGGACTGAATGTAACCTTGTAAAAGAAACCCTTCTTAATGTTTTTTTTTTTTTTATAAATAACAGAAATTCAGTATTTTAGTCTGATTTAAAATTTTTTCCATCTGTTATCTTTTCAGTTTCTTTACAGCCGGTCACTTCCACATCATCTACTAGTTCAACATCTACAGGTGAGGATGATTCTGGACTGAATGCAACCATTTAAAAGAAACCCCTCTTAAAGTTTATTTTTTATTTTTATGAATAACACAGTAATTCAGCATTTGAGTCTGATTTAACATCTGTTTCCCTCTGTTATCATTTCAGTTTCTTTACAGCCGGTCACTTCCACATCATCTACTAGTTCAACATCTACAGGTGAGGATGATGCTGGACTGCACTGTAATATTGAAGTACAACTGTCCATAATTAATATTGTCTTCATGAAGAGGATAGTAATTGAGCATCTGATTCTGATTTAACATCTGTTTGCATTTGTTTTTGTTTCAGCCTCTTTACAGCTGGTCACTTCCACAACATCTACCAGTTCAACATCTACAGGTGAGGATGATTCTGGACTGAATGTAACCTTTTTAAAGAAACCCCTCAATTTTTTTTTTCAAGAAGAACACAGTACTTCATCTAAATCTATATTGTCAACTTGTTCCATCTTGTAAATATTACAGATCATTTGCCTACAGTCACTTCCACAACATCTACCAGTCCCACAACTGCAGGTGAGCATGATGCTAGATTGAACTTGGGCTTTCATAAGACACCCATCATAATAATCTTCTTTATGAATAACTCAATATTTCATCCTCATCCAGTCTGATTTAACATCTGTTTCCATCTGTTATTGTTTCAGTTCCTCTACATCTGGTCACTTCCCCAACATCTACAGGTGAGGATGATTCTCGACTGAATGTAACCTTTTAAAAGAAACCCCTCATAATGTTGTTTTTTTTCTCATGAAGAACAGAGTAATTCAGCATCTGATTCTGATTTAACATCTGTTTCCATTTGTTTTTGTTTCAGTCTCTTTACAGCCGGTCACTTCCACATCATCTACTAGTTCAACATCTACAGGTGAGGATGATTCTGGACTGAATGTAACCTTGTAAAAGAAACCCTTCTTAATGTTTTTTTTTTTTCATAAATAACAGAAATTCAGTATTTGAGTCTGATTTAACATCTTTTCCATCTGTTATCTTTTCAGTTTCTTTACAGCCGGTCACTTCCACATCATCTACTAGTTCAACATCTACAGGTGAGGATGATTCTGGACTGAATGTAACCTTTTTAAAGAAACCTCTCAATTTTAATTTTAATAACACAGTAATTCAGCATCTAATTCTGATTTATCATCTGTTTTCATTATTTTTTCAGCCTCTTTACAGCCGGTCATTTCCACAACATCTACTAGTTCAACATCTACAGGTGAGGATGATTCTGGACTGAATGTAACCTTTTTAAAGAAACCCTTCAATTTTAATTTGAATAACACCGTAATTCAGCATCTAATTCTGATTTATCATCTGTTTTCATTTGTTTTTGTTTCAGTCTCTTTACAGCCGGTCACTTCCACAACATCTACCAGTTCTACTTCCACAGGTGAGGATGATGCTGGACTGCACTGTAATATTGAAGTACAACTGTTCATAATTAATATTGTCTTCATGAAGAGTACAGTAATTGATCATCTGATTCTGATTTAACATCTGTTTGCATTTGTTTTTGTTTCAGTCTCTTTACAGCCGGTCACTTCCACAACATCTACTAATTCAACATCTACAGGTGAGGATGATTCTAGACTGAATATAACCTTTTAAAAGAAACCCCTCTTAATGTTTTTTTATTTTATTTTATGAATAATACAGTAATTCAGCATTTGAGTCCGATTTAACATCTGTTTCCCTCTGTTATCATTTCAGTTTCTTTACAGCCGGTCACTTCCACAATTTCTACTAGTTCAACATCTACAGGTGAGGATGATGCTGGACTGCACTGTAATATAAGTACAACTGTCCATAATTAATATTGTCTTCATGAAGAGCATAGTAATTGAGCATCTGATTCTGATTTAACATCTGTTTGCATTTGTTTTTGTTTCAGTCTCTTTACAGCCGGTCACTTCCACAACATCTACCAGTTCAACATCTACAGGTGAGAATGATTCTGGACTGAATGTAACCTTTTTTAAAGAAACCCCTAAATTTTTTTTTCATGAATAACACAGTAATTCAGAATCTGATTCTTATTTATCATCTGTTCTCGTTATTTTTGCAGCCTCTTTACAGCCGGTCACTTCCACAACATCTACCAGTTCTACTTCCACAGGTGAGGATGATGCTGGACTGCACTGTAATATTGAAGAACACAGTAATTGAGCATCTGATTCTGATTCAACATCTGTTTCCATCTGTTATTGTTTCAGTTCCCCTACATCTGGTCACTTCCACAACATCTACAGGTGAGGATGATTCTTGACTGAATGTATCCTTTAAAAAGAAACCCCTCATAATGATTTTTTTTCCATGAAGTATACAGTAATTCAGCACCAGATTCTGATTTATCATCTGTTTTCATTTGTTATTTTTTCAGCCTCTTTACAGTCGGTCAGATCCACAACATCTGCCAGTTCTACTTCTACAGGTGAGGATGATGCAAAACTTAATGTGGCCTTTTAAAGGAACTCCCTCATGGTGATTTTCTGTGCTTCATGAAGAACACAGTACTTCATCTAAATCTAATTTGTCATCTTATTCCATCTTGTAAATATTACAGGTCATTTACTTACAGTCACTTCCACAACATCTACCAGTCCCACTACTGCAGGTGAGCATGATGCTAGACTGAACTTGGGCTTTCATAAGAAACGCATCATAATAATATTTTTTCATGAAGAAATCATTATTTAATCCTCATCCAGTCTGATTTATCATCTGTTTCCATCTGTTATTGTTTCAGTTCCTCTTCATCTGGTCACTTCCACAACATCTACAGGTGAGGATGATTCTTGACTGAATGTATCCTTTAAAAAAAAAACCCTCATAATGATTTTTTTTCATAAATAACACGGTAATTGAGCATCTGATTCTGATTTAACATCTGTTTCTATCTGTTATCGTTTCAGTTTCTTTACAGCCAGTCACTTCCACAACATCTACTAGTTCTACTTCGACAGGTGAGGATTATGCAAAAATTAACGTGGCCTTCTAAAGGAACTCCCTCCTGGTGATTTTCTGTGCTTCATGAAGAACACAGTACTTCATCTAAATCTAATTTGTCATCTTATTCCATCTTCTAAATATTACAGGTCATTTACCTACAGCCATTTCCACAATATCTACCAGTCCCACTACTGCAGGTGAGCATGATGCTAGACTGAACATGGCATTTCAAAAGAAATCCCTCATAATAATCTTTTTCATGAAGAACGTCTCGGGTTACGCATGTAACCATGGTTCCCCGAGAGGGAAGAGACGCTGCATCCACTAGCAGACAAAATGGGGAATGCTGCCAGCATGACCAGTGTCTGAAGCACGTGTAAAACAACGCCAATCCTATTGGTCCACGTGGCCCGTGACGTCAAAGGCAGATGCCCGGAAGCATAAAAGGGCACCTGCTGAATACGTCACCAACTTAGTTGTCTGAAAGAGACGTAAACAGGCAGGCCGAAGGCATGGCGAGGGGACGCAGCGTCTCGTTCCCTCTCGGGGAACCATGGTTTCATGCGTAACCCCAGATGTTCCCCTTCTAGGGAACTCCACGCTGCGTCCTCTAGCGGACACAATGTGGAACGAAATGCCAACTATGCCATGCCAAGGCTCGTGCCTGTCCACCTGGTGAGAGACCAAGGAAGTGACAGACATACACCAAGCCTTTCTTCAGAAATGGTCCAAGCCACTGACGCCTCGGGCCGCTCGCATAACCTGGCAGAATGGGGAACCCGATTCAGATAAAAGGGAACATCCCACCCAAGTTGAGAACACAGCTATCCTCAGATAGCTATGCTATGTGAGCAATACTAGCCTGGATACACAAGACCACTGAAGAGGCTAAACCATAAAGCCTCTTGGGGAGCTCAAAGAGATCACTACTTAAAGGGTTAGTTCACCCAAAAATTACAATTAGGCTGCGTTTTACTCACCCCCGAGGCATCCTAGGTGTATATGACTTTCTTCTTTCAGACGAATCCAGTCGGAGTTATATTAAAAATGGTCTTTGATCTTTCAAGCTCTATCATTGCAGTCAGCGGGTGTTGCATTGCTTCAGTCCAAAAGAATTTAAATAAAAAGCACCCATCCATAAAAAAAAGTGTTTCACACGGCTCCGGGGGGTAAACAAAGGCCTCCTGTAGCGAACTGATGCGTTTTTGTAAGAAAAATATCCATATTCAAAACATAATAATCAACAGTTGAACACAGAAGCAGTTCCGGGAGCATGACGTATGAGGTCAATTTGTAATATAACTCTGACTGGATTTGTCTGAAAGAAGAAAGTCATATACACCTAGGATGCCTCGGGGGTGAGTAAAACGCAGCCTAATTTTAACCCTTTAATTAAGGAAAGTAGCTGTTGAGCTAAAACACAGCTTTCCTCAGATAGCTATATCCTAAGGGTCTTATGAAGGTTCGTAGCTAGCCCAAATAGCCAAGTAAGGCCTTCCTGCAAAGCTGCCCAGACCAAAGAAAGTGGGCTATCTACTTACAACCCTAGCAGGGGAGATAGCACTGTCTAGGCAAGGGCTCAAGGAGACCACTACTTAAAAACCCTAAGAAGGGGAGCAGTCACTGAGCTAGCACATAGCTATCCTCAGATAGCTATGTACCTAGGAAGGGGCTACCAAAAGAGGGACCGACTGAAACTACCCACATCACAGAGAGTGGGCTGTCTACTTACAACCCAAGGAGGGGAGACAGCACTGTCTAGGTAAGGGCTCAAGGAGACCGCTACTTAAAACCCTAAGCAGGGGAGTAATCACTGAGCTAGCACATAGCTATCCTCAGATAGCTAGGCTCTAGGAAAGGGGAACAGCTAGCACATAGCTCTCAGATAGCTATGTTTCCAGGAGAGGGCTCACTGGAACTTGCCAGTTAAAACACAGCTAGCCTCAGATAGCTGTATTAAGTAAGCCCATCCTGTCATAACAATGGCTGGAATATAACCACCCTCAGATGGCTATACTAAGGAGGTCCCCAATCAGTGTCAGTCCCACAGTAGGCTAGCGAAGCACTGTGTTTTCGATCAGGAGCTCACAAGAGGGAGATCCGGACCATCAGTAAATGATTTGCTAAAGAGTGAACACATAAACATCATTAGTCCAAGATCAAAGCCTGATGTAAGCAGTGGCCATAACACTAGAGGGCTGGACACATCTATCTTCGAAAAGCAGTTCCCTCAGATAAGGCTGAAGTTTGCCCAGACCACGAAGTGGGCCATCTACTTAATACCCAGAAGGGGAGACAGCACAGTCTAGGCAAGGGGCTCAAGAAGACCACTACTTAAAAACCCTAAAAGGGGAGCAATCTCTGAGCTGGAACACAGCTATCCTCGAATAGCAGATTCCTAAAGAAGACTTCAGCGCTTACTTGAGAGAGCTTGTGCCAAGGGGGAACCCAACCTAGTTATAGAAGCCAGGGTAGAACATAGCTGCCCTCAGACCGCTATATTCCAGAGCAAAGCAAGCTTGAGCTGGAGCATAACCATCCACAGACAGCTACACTCTGAGCAGAGGCTGTTCACTTAAAGCCCTGAAGAGGGGCAAGCATTCTACTCAGCCCAAACTTACTAAGCGGGATTCAGAGGGACCACCCACTTAAAAATACCCAGAAGCCTGGGGAGGCAGCCCACTCCTAAACCCATCCGGCCCAACACAGGAAGGAACATTCCCCATAACCACTCTATGTGCTGAAACACCCTGGGAGAGAAAGCTTGCAAGCATCTCTCAACAGAGTATTTAAATATATCCACACCCAGCGAGACTCTCCACACACAATATAATGCATATTAGAGAGGCACGGCCGAGCTGAATATAGCTCCGCCCGTGATCTCACAAGATCAGGGCTGAAACGACTCTGTGCTCACACTTCATCGTCATAACAACCCAAATGCTGTATGCGGCATCTGACAACCCGTTAAGAGAGGGTGTGCGGATCCCGCAGATCAAAGCAATAATCGCGAGCTGAGGTCAACTGTGCCGTGGTAATGGCACGCTTTGCCCCGCATCCCTCAGGAATAGGAACAAACGCGAACGGAGCCTAGACATCGTGACTCATCACAATGAGTGTGTAACACAGAACGCAAATGCTCTTCTCCGAGACAAACGCAAAGGCGGAATATGCCCTCCAGTGTTAGAATCCAAACACGGAGGTTCACACTCCCTAAAGCGCTGCTCGACTCAATATAGCGCTACATGTGGGATCGAAAACTCCTAAAAAGAGTATCTGAAACCCACGAACAGACGCTTGTTACTCATCTCTCGAGAAGAGGGACAAGTGCAAACGGAGCTTTCTCATTGGAAACACTCACAATGTGCACATTCAGAGCACCGAATGCACAAGCCCCTGACCAAGACACATGACGCATATAGATATTGTGTGTCTTCAAGTGTTCTCGGGCACGGAGGCACACACTTTCTACAACGCTCACCTGCCTTGGTCTCTCACATGCACTTCAAACAGAACCGGGACCGGAACCAGAACCATTGTCCTGAAGACAACAAAAGTTGGTGACGTATTCAGCAGGTGCCCTTTTATGCTTCCGGGCATCCACCAATGACGTCACGGGTCACGTGGACCAATAGGATTGGCGTTGTTTCACACGTGCTTTAGACACCGGTAATGCTGGCAGCATTCCCCATTGTGTCCGCTAAAGGACGCAGCGTAGAGTTCCCTAGAAAGGGAACTCATTAGTTCATCCTTTGAGTCTCATTTGACATCTGTTTCCATCTGTTATTGGTTCAGTTCCTCTACAGCCGGTCACTTCCACAACATCTACCAGTCTCGCTACTACGGGTAAGCATGATGTTAGACTGAATGTAACCTTTTAAAAGAAACCACTCATAATGTTTTTTTTTGTTGTTGTTTGTTTATTTGTTTGTTTTATTTTTTACTACAGGTGAGGATGATGCTGGACTGCACTGTAATATTAAAGCAGAGCTGTCCATAGTTATTATTGTCTTAATGAAGAACACAGTGATTCAACATCTGATTCTGATTGAACATGATTCCATTTGTTTTTGTTTTAGTCTCTTTACAGCCGGTCACTTCCACATCTACACTTTCAACATCTACAGGTGAGGATAGTGTTTCACAGGACTGTAATATTGAAACACAACCCTCCATAATTATTAGTGCCTTCATGAATCTGAATTGGCACCATATTCCATCTTGTAAATATCGTTGGTCATTTACCTACAGTCATTTACTTCTACAGGTGAGTGGACTGGATGTGGCCTTTCTAACGAAACCCCTCATAATGATCTTCTTCATGAAGAACACTTAACTTCATCATCTGAGTTTGATTTAACATCTGTTTCCACCTGTTACTGTTCCAGTTCCTCTACAACCAGTCACTTCTACAACATCTACATCTGCGGGTAGGATGATGCCGGACTTCCTTTTATCCCTTTCTGTTTTGTTGACAATTTCTTGTTAATGTTGCAGTTTATTTAGAAACAGTCACTGATACATACACATGTTCAGTTTTATTTCCAGGTTATTTAATAAACTAGTCATAAGCATATTTCCTGTACATTTTGTTTGTTATTAAATAAACTTGTACTGCGTGTCAAGTCCTTGGTCATACACACACATGTGCATAATGTCAACAGCTCACTAGTTATAATCCTCGGTAATCCACTGCAAACTTCGACAGGTGGTTGAACAGGCTCATGGGTTTCTATTTAAATCGAGCGCGCTGCTTCAGCTGTGCATCTTACATCATCAACCCGGAACTAAAGTTCGATTCAGTTTGATTTGTGAACGGCTCAACTGGTTACTTCCTGAGTACTGACTCAAAAGAATGATTCATTCAATAATCAGACATCACTATTGTGTGCCCTGGCCTTCTTATGCCCTTTCTTACCTTCTTGTGCCTTGTCTACTGCCCTGTTAATAAACCTTACCTCCACTTATCCTGTGTTTGGGTCTTCTCTCTCACTCAGAACCCTGACACATTAATTCAGCCATCGACAGCCATTGTTACAGATCTCATGACCACAAATTCAACAGTTTTGAAATGAACTTATATTTATTTCATGTGGAGTTTTCTCATTCTAGATTCACAACGTCTGAATACCACAATGTTGGAAGATTGCAAGGTAAGTTGAGATGAGTTTCTGATATTGTGATTAGGGGGCCGGACTCATACCAACAACACAATAATGCAGAGTACACCGTTTTGTGTACCAAAAATTAACCAAAGAAAGAAAGAAATCCTAAACAAAATACCTTTTACTTATAAAGCTTATTTGTGATTTCAGACCACAGGAAAATGTGAAAATCTTCTTGGCCAGATAGAGAACTTGACAGCTCAAGTGCTTCCTTTGACCGTAAGAGAAAAGGACAAAAACCATCATTATTTGTCATGTGTATATAGCTGATACTGTAGCGATGCTTTCATTCTTTTGTTCCAATTTTACAAATAATCCTATTTTTATGATCACTAACAATAGGATGTGACAAAAATTTTGGATGTGGTCCTCAATGCTTCAGAGAAGGTTTTAGACTCATCGTCAACTGACCCAGATAAACTGGTGTTACATGGAAACCGTCTGTTAAAAGCCAGCGAGAAACTCGTGTCCATGCTGGTGATACCGACAAACACAAGTGACTATGTCAATTTTACTCTTGACACTGTGGGTAAGTAAAAACCAAACTATGAATAGACTGTGAAGTCACTGACTTAATGTGCTCAAGTCTAGAAAACCTAGATTAGATTAAAATAACTTTTGACTTTTTTTACATGACCTTATTTTTAATATGGTTTCATTCACATGACTGTCTTTTTTAATCAGAGGTTGAAGTCTTCATGGTTGGACCACAGGTCACCTTAGATAAAATCCCTCGACTCGACACGACAAATTCTTCTGTGGACATCGATCTCATTGGGATCGCCAAGAACAACAATGAAACAAGTACATTAAATGCCTTGATGTGATTTTATCAAAAAAATTTGAAGAAAGAAACAAAATACCACTAAATCGCATTTACTTAGGATCTTATTATTAGTAGTACTGTATTGTTGTTTTGTTGAATGGACATTTATTTATGAGTTTCTGTCTCACAGGATCAGCTGCTGTGGCTTTCATGAGCTACAACACGATGGAGAATCTACTAAAGCCAGACTTCTTCAACACATCAAAAGACACGGTTAAAACCATGATGTCTACTGTGATCTCAGCTACTCTTCCCAAAACCACCAACACTAAACTCACCAAACCAGTCAACTTCACCCTCAAACACATCAGAGTGAGAGACTCAAATGTGCTTTTGTTTTATCAGAGCACTGATGAACATCTGAAAACATCTAATATTCAGTGTTCTGATATTTTCTTCTTGTTTTTGCAGGAGTTTGATCCCAGCGGTTCTCTGTTCTGTGTGTACTGGAATATCAGCGAGTGGATTGTAGATGGTTGTTCTGTTTTAAAGACCAACAGCAGCTGCACTGTGTGTTCCTGTGATCATCTGTCGACATTCGCTCTCATCATGCAAACCAGCCGTCAGTCAGAGGTACCGAATATTTCTAGTGAACACTGAAGAACAGCACAGATTTGGCACTCATGTTCTCTCATGTTTTCTCAGAGCGACTCACTGATGGAGCTGTTGAATTTGGTGTGTGTGATCGTGGGGCTGGTGTTCTTCAGTTTGGCCCTGTTGACCTTTGCCCTTTGTCAGTGGAGTCCTGGAGTGAATAATGTGGCTCGAATCAACATCTGCATCAGTCTTCTGTTGGCTCACCTTCTGTTTCTGCTCACACAGCAGTTCCTGAGCCTCATACGGCGTCAGCAGGTGAGAATGATGAAGGAGCCCTACAGCTCAGCACAGCCTCACTGAGAATCATCATAACCGTCTCTCATGGTCTCCAGGTGTTGTGTGCCGTGATCTCAGGCCTTCTGCACTTCCTCTTTCTCTCCGGCTTTGTGTGGATGTTCATTGAAGCTGTGCTGCTCTTCATCTGTGTGAAGAACCTATCACAGCTCAGCTCCATTAATAGGGCGGTGCTTAGCAGAGAATTCCTGTGTGTGATTGGATATGTGGTTGCTCTGGTTGTGGTGGCCGTGTCTGTTGTGATGGATCCTAATGGCTACGGAAGTGAAATGTGAGTTCAGTTGGAGTCATTCATTGCTCAACATCTTCATCCATGTTTGTTTACTGATTACATTACTTTATCTTCCTCCAAACAGGTGCTGGATAAAAATAGATAAAGGCTTCATCTCAAGTTTTCTGGGACCTGTTTGCATGATACTAACAGTAAACACATTTATTTTTTCTTGTATTAAAAGGAAAACAATGGAATTGATTACTGTTTTTTTTTTTTTTTACTTTGCAGTCAAACACGATTCTTTTCATCAAGATCGTCATCACTCTGAACTCAACTCTCAAAAATCTGAACTCTGACGTTTCACAGATAAAACAAACCAAGTAACAAACATTATGACTCACATGATTTAATCAGTCTATAAAAAAGAACATGTAGTCAATAAAGGCACATTAACACTTTATTTCTCTGTTTCTCTGCAGGATCATGGTGTTTAAAACACTGGCTCAGTTTGTGGTTCTTGGTTGCTCCTGGATTCTGGGTTTCTTCACTAATGGCAGTAAGGTGCTGGAGATCCTCTTCCTGATCGTGAACTCCCAGCAGGGAACCTTCATCTTCCTGATCTACTGTGTCTTCAATAATGAGGTCAGACTTTTGTCTGTCCTACTCTATAAATACACCAATAAAGCTCCGGAGACAGTATAAGAAAAAAAAAAGCATCAGTGTTTACGTCTGAATATGCACACCTCTTTAAACACCTTTTCATACCTGTTTATCATTAACAAACATTCTGGTTCATTAGTTTCAGAGGTTAAATGAAGTCTCTCAGCTCCTCTCATCTCATTCTTGTCCAGGTCAGGCAGCAGTACAGGAAGTTCTTCAGATGTCTTTGCAGTGGACAAAAACAACACTGAGGACCACAGAATCATGTTAAGGAAAAAAAAAGTACTGCTGAAGTGCCATTATTATTTCAGGTTGTTATACGTACAGTAAAATACACAACAGAATCAATGTTTTTCAATATTAGCCTCACCTCTTTTTTGTTTTTTAGAAAAAACATGTTACCAGTGTCCCAATATTACAGCTGTACTAATGTACTATTGATGTTTTTTTGATGTAGCTCTCTTTACTCAAGGTTTTCCTTTGTAGAGGGCACAAATTCTGTGTTCACAGACTCCTTTACATTGTGTGGGATCATCATTAAAGAACATTTTAGATACGAGTTATGTATTATCTCAAAAAATAAAATTGTTAAACTTGCATAATTACAATTATTTATATATTTATTTATTGTCAAGATTATAAAGCTTCCACTTGATTGTTTGTGCTGTAAGGACCCATAGACCGTAGTTAGGATAGACATTTACATTTTCATATAGTAGACGCTTTTATCCAAAGTGACTTGAATGAGGAGGACAATAGAAGCAATTAAACCAACAAAAGGACAACAATATCTAAGTGCTGTGGCAAGTCTGAGTTATCTAACACAGTATGTGTAGCAAATTTATATATATAACCGTTCTTTCTGGTCCTGGAATCTGAATGGCTGATAAGAGTGCAATATTAGAGTGATAACAGAACTCCCCCAGCCATTTCACCGTTTGTATCAGGGGCACTAAACGCGAATTGTCTTAAACAGCGTTGGTATTAAAAATATATATGATAGCTACATACAAAAACACATACAATGATGTGTGTCATAAACCACGCTAGAATTGCATGCTGTTTTTTGATGCCGTTTACTGAACACTTCTGCATACATAATAACCAATAAGAAAGCTTGTTACAAAACCCATGTACTATTTATCACATCTTCCCCCCTTTTTGGGCAAAGTATGTCAATTTTTTACCAAACAAAATTAGATCAAAAGTTAAATTACACTGCTGCCAACTTCACAAATGTGACCGGGGATTTAAATTTACCACCAGGAACACATTGAGGGGTTATATTTACTTTAAGTTTATTCAGTTATTGATATAAGGAAAACGTTTTACTATGAAAAAGGGTCTTCTCAGGTTCACAAAATGAACAGGAAAAGATGAAGTAGCAAAACAAAATTTAGATAAACAAAATGAGAGCTTTCACAGAGCTGGTGATACCAATTAAACTCACAGCTCTACATTACTCAGAATGCAATTTTCAAAATGCAAAAAAACGAATACAAAAATCTCAGTGCAAAAAGATGGAAAATCAAAAATACGAGTAATGTAACACGATATCACAATGTTACTATACAATACGGCAGTGGGAATACTGTACAAAGAGAACAAAGCAACGTAAGTACATTTTTATATTACCCACTTACACATCATTTGAGGGAAATGAGAGCAAATAACACTCACATCAGAATGAGCTTCTATATAACACCTCACGTTCACTCAACAAGGGCTGAAATCCTCAACATTGTTGTACACTGTATAGATGTTCACATAAAGAACAAATCACATGAAAAACTCAAAAACATCTACAGAAGAAAGTGTAAAGTAGTTCGTGAAACACTAAATGAACAGGCATACACCACATGGTGTGACGTCATATCATCGCGGACATTATACACGACATAACTTTTTAAATATGACAGTTCGCCGAATTAATACAACAAAATATACATCCACAATTGGTATTTATCCAAAATATAATAATAAAACATTGTATTTACCCATGGATGATCACACAAACTCCACAATTTCCCGAGAATGCGTGTCTCGCTGCACATCTCATCTCACCAAAATGTCCGAGGATGAGAGCGCATGCGTACTGTCTCATACGCAACACACACAGTGCCACCTGCTGACGACTCCAGGAAAATACCGGAAATTACTGTTTTTCATGTCTTTATAATTCACTGAACATAGTAAAGCACAATAAAATAACAGTTTTTAACATGCAAGGAGAGAAACTAATTTTAAGGTTATTTACCACCCGGTTACACAAACATAAAACATTATGCAAAATAACTATTTCCACAAATAGTCTCTGTGATGCAGTAATTAAACAACAAGTAAGGGGGAAAATTTTTTTTGAATCTGTATTATGACTGGTAGCGCAATGGCTTTCTTATCATTTGCCCACAGCATGTGGTCTTGGGTGACACTACATGTTGTGGAGTATGAGGCACAGCAGCAGTACGTTCTAAGGAAGGAACCGACGTTCCCTGATTCGCCTCGGGTAATTGTTCACTTGGAACCCCAGGTCATACCTGTCAACATTTAGCTCACCCGGGATTTTCTGGATTGCTCAAGGACTGATTTCATGTATTTGTATATGAAAAAAAAACATTCAGTGTGGTACAATTTTTTTCAAGGCACTTCAGTGTCTATAACTTTTTATCTTTTTGAGCATTATCAACTCTGGATGATGGATAGCACAGCCTAAAGTGTTTTCTTCTTTAAATTGTGTGTGCAGCACACTGTTGTCAGAAACTGTTACCATTTTAAGTTAGGTAGGTCATTTTAATTTTAAAAACCCATTTTGGGTTCATTTAACCCAGCAGTAGGCCTATAGTAAATTTCAAGCAATATTTGAATTAAATATGTTTATTGACATATTACCTGATATATAATGTATGTATGTATAACCTACTGTATAAACAATCGCTTCAGAGCAATTTGTTGTAGCCACTTACCCTGTAACTACATGGAACAAGGGGGGAACAAGCACCACTTTAAATTACAGCCCGCAACTGTTGTATTTACCCTGTAACTACATGGAACAAGGAGGTAACAAGCACATAGCAAGACTTAAACACAGAACAAGTGTATATTTGCACAGTAATTACAGAGAAAATATTGCACTAGTTTTAATTTAATTGTTTGATGGCCAAATTAAACCCTCTACTTTTTTTTGCTATAAAAACATCACAGTATACATCCACTGAAATACAAATGTGGTATTGTGTATGGTTTCTGCGAACAGCTGGAAAGAGGTAAGCTTGTTTTAAGCTGCATTGAACCTTGATGGTATATCATGCAAAGTTATTTGGTGATAGTGGTGTTGGAAGGTTGCTGGTGTGACTCAGCTGAGATCGACGAATAAGCTTTCATAAAGTAAGTATACTCGTGAATTATAAATCATAGCAGAAACTCATTAACTCATTTCACTAGATGTCCAGTTTTGTTGTTCAGTAATCTCCATCATGTTTCCTGCAATAATAGAATGGTTAAAAATACCTAGGCCTGTAATAAAATAGGTCTACCAATATAAAATTATAAAAAGTATAGTCTTTCTAAATCACTCCCAAACATAAGATTGTTGTTTAGGCCATACATACCACGTAATATTAGAATTGGTACCACTTAGTTTCAAAATACTTACAGTATAAATTATTTGTAATTTTACAGGTTGTTACCCCTTTATTCCCCAAACGTCGCATATTATTCCCTTATGCCTACAGGGAGGTACTGAATAGGTACACTATAATTACAAAAAGAAAAAAATTATGCTGTAACTTCAGTTCACTTATGCAGTTCTTTGCAGGTTGCATATCTGGTTTTTACCCCTTATTACCCAAACGTAACACATTGTTCACTTTTACCTACACGTATGTTCTTTATAGGTACACTATAACTACAGAAACGTACACCGTAAATTCAGTATACTTACGTAGTTCTTTGCGGGTTGTAATGTATAGCGGTACCCCACCCTCGATACCACGACTGAGGTGAGACCCTTGAGCAAGGCACCGAACCCCCAACTGCTCACACATACTGTGTGTGTTCACTACTGTGTGTGCACTTGGATAGATTAAATGCAGAGCAAAAATTCAGAGTATGGTCACCATACTTGGTCATACGACACTTCACTTAACTAATTATCAGTGTTGTCAGACAAATATGAACATGCGTCTAAATGGCCTAGTCATATTCAATGCATGAGAAAACCACCTGTTTCTGTCACACAGGATCAGCTGCTGTGGCTTTCCTGAACTACAACACAATGGAGAATCTACTGAAGCCAGACTTCTTCAACACATCAAATGGCATGTTTAACACTGTGATTCTCACTGAGAATCATCATAACCGTCTCTCATGGTCTCCAGGTGTTGTGTGCCGTGATCTCAGGCCTTCTGCACTTCCTCTTTCTCTCCGGCTTTGTGTGGATGTTCACTGAAGCTGTGCTGCTCTTCATCTGTGTGAAGAACCTATCACAGCTCAGCTCCAAAAAGAGGGAGGTGCTTAGCAGTGGATTCCTGTGTGTGATTGGATATCTGGTTGTTCTGGTTGTGGTCTGTGTGTCTGTTGGTCTGGTTAACCTAACATTAATTTATAGTGGTCATCAATTTTAATTTGTTAATCAATTGTGTTTTTGATTGTTTTTTACTATTCGTTTTTTTTTTCTTTTTTTTTTTTCTTCTTGGTAGAGGTCATTGACTCATCCTGTACTTCAGTCTCCTCGAGTGATTTATGTTTGCTTTAATTGTCTATATTATTGTACAAGAATATTTAGTGTGATTTGTAATTATTTTCTTGATAATAATCATTTAGGAAAAAAAATCTATGAATGCTTCCTTTCAGTTCTTCAGCATTATTGAGTTGTTAGTAACTATTTAGAATGATTGGTCGATTTTAATCAAAACCCGTCTTCTTATTACACATATATGGTGATGATAATATTATCACAGTCAAGGTTTTAATAATAAACATGCTAACAAACCACTTACCATGGCTAATATGGATGTCTAAGATGGTAACGGAGAAATCACGACTGTGCTTTGAATTATTTTTATTTTTTTTTAGAAATGTGTATTTAAATATGTATAAATACACTGAAATGTGATCTTGTATATGAAATATTTTTGTATGTGCATCATCTTGGTGAGTTCTTTGAATATGAATTTGAATTTCGGCAGGAAGGACTGAAAAAATATGTTAGTTTCCTCGTTAGATGAGCAGATAACTGTCATAAACATCTGACAATAATGTGTCTGTGTAGTCAGTCTAGTTGGGTGAAGATCACGACATGTAAAGTCATATCAGGTGAGACCCTGCTTAAATAAGAATGAACTGCTTTAGTGTTACTATCAATCAATGCACTTTTAGCAATTTTGTCTTCAATCGCTGTTTGCGGTACTGTACATGTTT